TCCATTCACATTAAATGCCCAACAGTAAACTACTAGTAGTAAACTAACTAGTACTTTGAAAGCTGACGTTGTACTTTAATGTTGTAGCTGGAGCTAATTTAAATTCCCTGGGTTCTTAAATCTGTAACAAAGCGTCGTGTTTTACTTGTTATATGTTAAAAAGTAAATTATTTCCATCTGAAATGTACAAGCTGCATAAAATGGAAATACTCAAGTAAGGTACAAGTTCCCTTAATGGTTGACTTGAGTGCAGTAGTAAAGATAATAGTCTATTATAACATTATATGTGATTATTAAGTCTTTGGCACTTAGACTGTACAGGGAGATTTCTGTGTCTGCAGCAGCAACAGACACTGATGGTGGTTGATGACTCTGCTGATTAAATAATGAACCTGATGAATCTGCAAAGACTTGAGACCAGAACTGTAAAACCAGGTAAGTTTGATTGTTGAAACTGATTACATTGAACATTTTAAGTTAAACTAACTTAATTTTGCAAGTTAAAAAACCTTCAAGTAGCTTTAATCTTAAGTGACACTGAGTTAATTTTTTATTTGTACTGTTAAAATGTACTTAATCAGGAAAGTTAGTGTCACTTTAAATTACTAGCAAAAGCTGCTTAATCAAGAATATTTTTTAACTTACAAAATTGAGTTTGTGTTACTTAAAATTTTCGATGTAATTCGTTTCAGCAATTTCTTTGAGTTAAAATAACATCCCAGTGCAGTAAAACAGCAGCAGGTTGTCATTGGATACATGAGACCAGCTGATATATAATCAACAGCAAGTAAACAATGTTTGAGAGGACTGAATGCAGGATGGAAACAGGTCCATATGCAAAACAAAAGTGTTCCTGACTGAACTTTTGCTTCATTACTAACCTGCTGCAGTACCACTGTTAGCCTGAGTATATTCTTTTTAACACCTCGTGAAGCTTTAATGAAACCTCTGATTGCTCTTCACAGAATTCGACATCCCCGCAGAGTCTTCTGTGGTCCCCTCCGGCGGTGTCCTTCGCCAACTACTTATGGGTGCATGGCTGAGTGAACCATCTGTTCACTCAGCCAGGATGTGCCAGCAGGCTACTGCTCTCCAAGGTCCCAAACTGTACTCATGATCTGTAAAGAATCTCACAGTGGAGACTGACCCCGATATCAAATGATATTATTCCTTTTTAAAGCTCAGCTGCAGCACAGGACCTTTATTTCTCCCACTGCGGTCAGGGGAAATCTTTTATTCTTAAATCTGATGGTTGCAACTGTGCCAGACTCACAGATTAAGTGAATTTATATTTCGAACATGCACAGGATCCCGGTCTGTTTGCTGTAAGCTCCACTCCCCTTAGTTACTGTTGCTACGTCTGTCCATCTTTCCAATCTCATACGGCACTTATGCAGTTTGGCTCCTCGATTTCAGGCCGAGACAAAAGCAGAACATTGATTTCTAGTTGTGGACCGTTGACAACTGTCGCTGGCAGGTTTCACCAGATGTGGTTAGCTAGCTAATTAAGCCAACGTTAGCTCCATGAGTGGGTTGAAAACATTGTCTCCGGCTGACTTTTTAATGTTTTAAAATCTTGTAAAAAAAAAAGAGGATTTAAATATGCACATGATGTCTATAATATTGTGCTAAAAGACTGAGGCTACAGGTCCAGGCCAGCAGACGAATATAAGACTATATATAAGAAGAATATAAGAGATTATAATAAAGACACAGTTTGTGTTGCAGTGTAAAGTTAGGTAGTCCAAGTGTTGTAAGTATGATAAAGGAAATACATAATGGGACTATTATTTTGTTGATAATAGTGATCTTGAGATTAACTCAGGTGATGCTGGTTGGAGCTGCTGGAGTATAAACTTTACTGAATGCAATAAACATCAGCTCTGATATTGTAACACATCTCTCAGTTTCCACAAATACGACATAGTGGATGTCTTGAAAAGGGTTTATTTTGATTGATAACTTGTAACCCTACAAACCAGGAAATGCTCCTTGGCCTTGGTTGCTTGGTTACTACTGTGGGTAGCAAACTAGTTAGCTTGACATGCCAACAATTGCAGCTTATGTTGGAGTAGATACACAGTTTAAAGTCCAGATGAAATTAAAAAAAAAATGCCTTTTTCATATTGTACATTTATTTAACAATTTGTGCCAAAAAATGTACAATTTCCAATGATACCGAAGTCATTCGCAGAGTTTCCAGATGGACTTGAAGCCTTTTCTACACTTTGTGTTTTGTTTGGACAATGGCTGCCAAATATTGTTGCAAATTACTGATTTAAAAGCCGACATAAGCAGCCATTTTGCGGTGAGACTAAACCAGGAAAGTGCTACTAGTTTTAAAAACACAGCTTCAGTTGATAATGTCTCTGGATACCATCTATAGGAAGCACTGACAGAGGAGGTGGGAGGGGGGGGCCACGTTAGATCCCAGAGGGCCGATAAAAGGCAGCGAACAGCAGCCGAGGCTTTCAGAAAGCCACTGGGAACGCACTATAGAAGTGTGACACTGGGAGGCAGAGAGCTGGGTGATTTGTGTCCTCAGAGGGAAGGAGAAAGCTGGAAATGGACTCAGCCATCTGCAGCGACGTGCCTCTTCATTTCACCTCATCTGTCCCCTTTTCTACCAACACATCCCTCACCTCCGTCACCTCTCTGCCCTCTGAGGTGTCCCCAGCCTCTGCCACTGACCCCAGCTCCGACCAGCGCCATATGGTTTTCACCCGGCTGCCCTCTCGCTCCGGCATTGTGAACAGATTATAAATGGCATTTAAATAATCATTTTCCAATACCATCAGACAGAGAGGCCAGACAGACGCATCGCGCCTCGCCAAGTAAGCTGCTTTGACCGAAAAGTCGTTTTTGAGTCTTAGTTTTATGGCGGACATCTGTTATATGATAAAAGCTAAATGAATCTGCTATAAATGAAAATACCCTGCGATTTTATTCTCGGTTGATTGTGGTATTTTACGGCTTTATCAGACTATCCATGTGAAGAATATTAGCAGCTGTGTGAGCCCGGTTTGTTTCTTATTTGCTTAAGCACATTTACAGAAAGAACATAATCACCACATTTTATACGAAGCAGCATGAGGCTTAATTTTGTGCAGCAAAAGACGATTATTCACTCAGAACGTTTAGTTTGTATGAAAATTAAATAAATAAATAAATAAATCGATGCCTCTAAAATGAAACATTATCGCTTGCAGGAATAGTTCCTGTACAAACAGGAACTGTCCTGGTATCGATATCAAAACATGAAACATGTTAGAAACTGAATTAAACTAATTTGTTATTATTTATTTTTATGACTTTAATTAACACAATGAGCTTGTTGACAGGAATCAGTCTGATGTTGTTTAATCCTTAATATTTTGTATTAATGTACACCAAATGATCTCCAACTGCCTGTTTATCACCAGGTCAGAGTTGTATTGAGATGAGTTTACTTTTAGAGACGACATGCAGTAAACTAATCATCGGTCTGAGAGAAGATAATTAGAAAAAAACATTTTTAATCAGTTATGAATGGACGCTGGATCATTTGATTTAAGACGTACAGAACTTGTTGTACTCGGAAGTAAACGCAGCATGTAATACTCAGTATCAGCTTTAAAATATACTTCAAAAGTAAAGCACTCATTATACATAATGGGGCATTTCTAATTAATATCCAGCACTTTATATAAGAGGGTTATAATTAGTGACGCATTCATGTGTAAGTGTCATTAATGTTGCAGCTAATTTTAATTACATATTGCTGGATAGCTTAACCTTTAATACACAGAGGTGGGAAGTAACTAAGTACAAATACTTTGCTCCTGCACTTAAGTAGTTTCTCAGTTATCTGTTCTTTACTTTTACCCTTTATTTGTTTTTCTGCTCCTTACAGTTTCAAAACAGGCTTGTTGTTTAGATTTTGATGCATTTGAGGGGTGTTATCCATTTTTATTTCTATTTTGCATCATTGCTCACCTTCCCAACATTAACACTGGAGCATAAACGACATAAAAGACGTGAGAGACAGGACTCAACTCTGTTTCAGCTTTGCACAGAAACAGCCGGTAGAAATGTCCTTTAGAGAAACCAAGAGAGTACTTTTATACTTTATATATTTCAGATCCTGAATTTTTTCTTTTTACTTGAGTAAAGAAGTTGAATAAGTTCAAGTATCTGTACTTGTACTCGAGTAAAGAATGTGTGTACTTTACCTCTGATAATACTATAATCCTTTATTAAGTTATTGAAGAAGTAGAATAAACTAGAATAACATGGAAATAATCAAATAAAGAACAACTATATAGTTATGAACCACCACTGGAAATACTTCAACTGTGAGAAAATGATCTCCATCAAAGTGAGGAAACATGTAAGAATGCAGGATAAAATAGAGGACGTTGTTTGTGTGTATGAACCGTATGAACAGTGCAGATCAGTGATAACACACAGTGACAGGGGGAAGGCAGCCTGAGGCAGACGCTCTGCTGACCGCCACTACTAAACCTTCTCTTCTCCTTTAACGCTTTTAATTTTAAACTCACAGAACAAAGCACCCAGAATGCTGCAGATGTAACTTTCTTTTTTATGTTTTCTACGCCGTGCAGACCGAGGGGAGGCTGTTCACAGCATCACAGCGTTTCCACCTGTGGTCGGAGCAGAGAGGGAGGTGATTGACGGCAGAGACATGCTCAGATGGAGCACAGCCGCACCCTCTCCACACACACACACACACACACACACACACACACACACACACACACACACCTAAGACAGGAAGCCAAAAGGCCATCTGCAGCACCGAGCTATTGTGAGGTTGTGCATTAAGCTATTTTATGTCCCACATGAATTAACTGCCAGTCTTAAGTTAGCAGGATTGCAGGCGGAGGAGTATATCATGTGTACTGTGAGGGGAGAACAAAGGCAGTTTTTAGTTAAGTGTGTGAGCCTCGCAGATGTAAAAAGTGTGAATGGATGAATGAAAAAGAGAGAAATACGGGATCTGGATTTCAGCTCAATACTTTATTAAATAATCAACATAGTAAACATCATCATGAAAAAGGAAAAAACAAAAATAAAACATGAAAAATGAAACAGTCACATTTGTTTTTCTTCAAGTTTTCCTCGTCAACAGTATTTCACTTTTAGCTGCGCACACACACACACACACACACACACACACACACACACACACACACACACTTTAGTGGCTTTACAAAAGTCACTCGAGGTGCTGCTTCATTTTGGTGTGACAGTTACAATGATGGCTGAGGAAGGTAACCCAGGGGGACCCGGGCAGAGGAAGAGGAGGAGGAGGAGGAGGAGGAGGAGGAGGAAGAGGAGATGGATGCTAGACAGTTATATATTTATCTCTGTATTAACATCTGTCTAGTGTTGACACAACACAGACGAATGTGAAGTTCTTGAAATTTGAAAGCTTTTGTGGAAAAAAAGCCGAAGCATCAGAGGCAAAGCTACAATCAGTGAGGACTCAGGCTGAGCTGGAGCTGCCTGCGACAAACGCTACACGTACAATGGCTGCCTTTGTGTCACCAGCTGGTGCATTGATAAGAAAAAAGCTATTGATAGCCACTATCTTGATCGTTTCTTTATGTGTACTGTAGCCTGTGTGACTCCGAGGGAGCAGGGAGATTCTTGTTGCAGTAGATGATACATCGTGACCACATCTAAATTAGCAAATTGACAAATGAAGTCTGGTATGAGGCCGTTATAAAACAGCTGAGTTTGAAATAAAGTAAGTTATAATTCTGTCGTAGCTCATATGAATTCACATGCTTTGCTATTTCAGGCTTGAGAAAATAATGAGAGTCGATTATTTACTTTTGTGTCTATTGTTTTCTAAATACGAACAGACCACCGTAATGATGATACATCTGCAGTCGTAACAGACTTTAATACTGCTGACATCATGTTTCCTATACAGGAACACTCCAATGAGATCCAGTTTTAAGTTACCAAAGAAGTAATCTTTCATTTTAAAACATCACATATAAAAAATCAAACAAAAGCAGAGGTAAAAAAAAAAAAGAAATATTTCTAAACTACCTGGCTGGCATGCATGCTACTACACAGCAAGACTATTTCTTTTTGTTCATTTTTTTCATTCTTCACAGCTCTTTTATTTAATTTTTTTACACACCCACATATTTACATCGTCAGTCTTAAGGTGTCTCACACCGACCTACAGCAGCAGCAGCATACTGAAATAACTTAACACAACTCATAGAGCTGTGAGGACTTAAAGGTAAAGTCTCATCAAATACTATATTTTTCTTACTGTCAACAAAAGAAAATTGTCAGTGTGCCTGACGTATCATATTCTTCTTCACTACGATGAACTTGGGCACTTTAGTTGCACAAACACCGTCCTGCTGCTGTAAATACTCAGGGCACCAAATGTGTATTCATCCGCAGTTGAAAATAGTCCCCAATAAATGCAGTTTTTACTCCGATTTGAGTGACATTTGTCAAAATCTACAGTGGCCAACTTCTTTAAGCAAAGTAATTTGCTTAAAAAAAAAACATTCATGGTCTGGTTTTGAAGATTTATGTGTTTTGTAAGAACCAAACTAAACTTTAAAGTACAAAAAGAAACGCTCTAATGCATGATACTCGTTGACTGTAAGAAAAAATATAGAATAACAAAAGACTTATCCGTTAAATCTTTTATCACATTGTTCACACAAACCCATGTTTTCAAAACTGAGCCGGTCTAAGGCCCATCTGAATTATTCTGTAAAGCAGAGTTGTCGAAGTCCCAAATGAAGGTCCCATCCACAAAGGTCCAGTTTGCACTAAATGTCCTGTTTAACCTTATTTAAATATCTAGTGTCAGTCAGTTGTGTCATAAATCATCCACAGAGACGTCGCAGGCATCGTGTGTCTCTTTCGCCGTCAGTCAAAGAGCGTGGGGACTCGTGCCCAGGGAGTTTGATTGGATAAACAGAACTAGAGCTCCGGCTGAGATGCGAGTTAATTGGCTTGGAAGCCGCTCTCACTCTGTGAAGCTATTGGAGGAACAGCTACGTGATCCAGCTCGCCGACTGATCGGACAGAGTTCCTAAAAAAGGGGACAGTCGCCTTCTTGGTCGAGACAAAATTACATCACATTTGCCAAATTGCGTTAAAGCCCAATCAGGCTTAAATGCTACGGTTCCTCTGTGTCTGTGCTATTAATGAGCACAATCAATGAGCCAAATATGAGCGTTGAGTTGTTTTTCATTAAAGGAAAGGTTACAACGTGCTGCTGAAGGAAAACCTGCAGCAGATTGTTCCTCATTTGTCACTGATGTCAGAGCAAGAGTTAATATCAGCACCACTTGAACAACTTGTACTGTATCTTCTGATTTAATTAACGTTCCAGGTCTACAGGAGACGAATGGTGGAAGCAGATGTTGCCCTTAACTCTGACCCACATTCACACACAAACACAACCGACCCGATGCCAACAAACAGTCCCATTCTGCCCTTCCTCGTCCTGACAATGGCTGGCGGGTGTGGGGTGTCAAATCTAATGAAACAGGCTGGGAACAACAGCTGAGTGTGTGTGGAAATGGGGTTGGAGGGAGAAGGGGGGGGAGGAAGAGGGAGGGAGGGAGTGGGGGGGAGGTTGAGTCAAGACACAAGTGTCCTTGTCAAAGCTGGGGCCAAGCCATAGAGAGAGAGAGTGAGAGAGAGAGAGCTGCACTGACTGCAACAACAAGCCCAAAATGGCTGCCAGTCAAAGCTCCCAGAAAGAGAGACGGCGCTGTCTCGGAGCTCTGCTCTCGCTGGGCGTGAATCGCTGCCGTCACTCCTCTCTGGTTGACTGGTGTGAGCTCATGCGAGATCCCTCAGACGGGCAGGGAGGCAGGCTTGACGCCAATAAGCCCGGTTTGAGCAGGAGTAGGCAGCAGGGGCTGAGCTTCGGGGTCTCTGAGGCCCCCAGTTTGTTGGAGCAAGATTTGAAGGCTGAGCCGAGGGCCAGGACTCTACGGGAAGTGTGACACCAAATCTCATCGGATTCTGAACCGTTTACTTATTTCCTCATGATTTCATCCCTCGCTCCCTCTCTCTGTTTGATTGGGTGGGAGGATTAGGGCTGGATTACCCAAGGAGAGGATGTGAACCAGTTTGTTTGCACATGTGTGTGAAGGTCGGATCTTATAGGGATGCTCGCTTATCATACGACCTTGTGGGTGGGGTATATACTGCAGCGTCAAAGCAAAGTGTGCAAGAGCGACTGCCACATGGGGGGGGGACGTGGAGCACCTAAACCTCCAGATGACCGAACACAATAAGATTAAGGCTTTTGCCACATGCTACTGTGAGGAAGACATCTTGGTGGAAGTGAAGCATCCATGTATTTAGGTTTGAAGCAGCAGCAGCATCCTACTGGACACCAGTGGTTGTGATTTGATTAATAAAGTAGGAAAGCAATCTAATCTTTTCTGGCAAATTACAGGATATTCTTAACTCTTTTGGGACTCTAAAAATTGTTCACATGAAACAAGGTTAAACTCGTAACTAGCAAACATCCAACCAACAGTAGGGGGTGTGTTAACCTTGTAGACCGCAAGAAGACCTTGTTTAATTTTAAGGGGTCAGGAACCAAAAAGGTTGACAACCACTGTCCTATAACAGGCCTCGCTATTTTTAGATATTTCTATAAGTCATATATCAGTTTTGATGAAAGAAAATGGGTTAAAAAGGGTCCAGTGGAGTGCATACACTTTGTAGTTTGACTGTTTAATGTCTTTTAAAGCCAATTTGATGCATAATTAGCAGTTAATTTGTGGTTTCCACCTATTTTTCTACCTTTTTTCTACTACTGGAAGCTTTTTCCAGGCTATCAGCAGTTAAAGACTGTAAACTTCAATTTGTAATCAGTGAATTCTTGCAGCAGGAATCTAAAGAAGATGCAGATGGATAAGGACATAATATCCATCTGAAACTATATTTAATCTGCTTTTAAGAGAAAAACGCATATATTTTTGTTCTAACAACGAACCTTGGCCTCATCTGTGTCCACCTCTGACATGCACAAACACATGGGAAAAAGAAATTAAAGCTATTTTGGTTCAATCAAGGGAATAATTTAGCAAGAGACAGGAGCTGAGGGAGGGACGAGGGAGAAGTCTCTCGATGGCAGATGAGGATGCGCAGGTGACTGATGAGAAACTGGGACAAATTCAGAAGTAACAACAACAAACCCCTTCAACCACAACAGGCTTCATCTCCCACTGCTGCATGTATATCTTTCAGAGAGCTTTACTGCCACTACGCTGGACCCTGAGCTGCACACGTGCGTTTTATTCATGCACCGAGGAGAATGAAGCACACACGACAAGGTATTTAAAAGTGTTTGTGTGTGTGTGTGTGTGTGTGTGTGTGTGTGTGTGTGTGTGTGTGTGTGTGTTTATGTACATATGTGTGTGTTTACAGTCCAGCACTGGTCCGGCCTGGCCTGGATTAGCCACTGAAGCTCTGCAGGGCAGCCGAGTGGACAAGAAGGGGGCAGAGGTTGAGAGAGAGGAGGGGCTGCAGTAATCTGCTAATCTCATTAATACCACGGCTGTGGGTGCCCTGTCAACAAGACGCAGGGAACAAAGGATGGAGTAAACAGCTGATGACCCTGGCTGCCGTCCACCGCACAATGCCTACACACACATAACCAGGCATGCACTCACACAATCTTAAAATCTAAATGCATGTTCTGTGCTGCTTCCACCAGAAAACTCTCCTGAGATGAGATAAAATAGAAACACAGAGGAGTTCATTGGCAGGTTTGAGATAAAAAAAAAGAAATAGCAACTGTCCCCTCAGGCCAGACGACCCTCAAAAGGCTCCACAAAACACTGCCTGTTCGTTTTGCTTTAGTGATTACACAGCGCACAGCAGGACCAGCGGGACCTTACATGGACCTCTCAGCTGTTCCCATCAGTCTGAGTCACTTTTCACTGCTGGCACACGGGGCTTAGCCTGCAGCGGATGTCAAGATGTCTTCTTGTATTGTCCAGGAAATATGTAACTTGGCCTAGATGGATTTTATTGTCTGTGAATCCACTCAGACATTTAGAATATAACCAGTGAAAATTCCTTGATGGTGTTTTGTGAGTGATGATGGCATCTTCTCGGCCCGTGCAGACTGATTGATCACATTCAGAGAGGAGGGTGGGGATGCTGGGGCGCCTGGCTGTGCGGATCCAGAGGGGCAGCCGGGGCAACACATGGGGTCGGATAGGACAGGTGGACCAAATGGTTCCTCAATTCAAGTAAACTCAGGTGGATATTCCAGGAGAAGAAACATGATCTATTAGCCTCTGTTAACCAATTATCAGAGAAGAATCTTCCCTATTTCTATCTGTGGATGGAACGGGACAATGGCAACAAACACAGATGGAATGATTAAATATGTCTACAAAGCTCTGTCAACATAGGCCTTCATAGCTCCTGCACGGCAGCAGAAGAGGAAAAAGGGGCAAGGAATCTGTATGAGACAAATGTGTGTGTGTCTGTGTGCAAGCGTACGTGTGCATGAGTGTACAAAAAAGGCATGCGGTCAGCAAGGATGGGCGCTCTCACCGATCCAGCACCCGACTATAGTCCTGGGTCCCACAGCCGCCTTCACTCTTGAGTTCAGCGAATACTTGTGTGAAAAAGTGCGGGTCTGCGTTGATGCGCAGCATCTTGGAGCTGGTGGCATCGATGATGGCGAGGCAGCGGTCCCAGAAGGCCTCCTTACCCGCCTCAACCAGGAAGGGCTTGAGCGGGTACGAGATCTCGTTGCCCATGTAGGAGTAGGACAGGTAGAGGCAGGTGAGCAGGATGGCCTGCAGCTCGTGCTCCGACGCCACCAGGTCGCCGTCCACGACGTCTCGGCACAGCATGTAGACAAAGACCACGTTGGCCGGCGTGACGAAGGCCTGGTCCTGCCAGCCCTGCAGCAGCAGCGAGCGGTCCACAGCCCGCAGCCAGAGCACTGGGTCGGCCGGAGACAGATGCTTCAGACGGTAGCAGCGACAGCACAGGAACTCCCCCAGGCAGCGCAAGAGCTCACTGGTGGAGGCCTGTACGATGACACGCTTTGGGGACGAAGTCACTGTCCCCTGGGGGACTTTTTTCACAGAGGAAAGCTGTTGGGACTTGCTGTAGCTACACCCGTACCCCTGTCCCAACCCGAGGCCATACCCAAGCCCCAGACCCAGTCCTGCTGGGCCCTCGTAGCTGGACAGGTTGGCACATGACAGCGACTTCTTCACATTCTCGCGGTTGAGGTGCAACACGGGGTCCTTCTGGTAGATGTTGATGTTGTTGTTGTTGTTAAGAGGGTCCCCGGGGGCCACAGGACCGCAAGGGCCTTTCTTAGAGGTGCCCTTCTTCTTCGTTGAGGCCACAAGTCGCTTCCACGTGAGCGCCGGGAGGAAGATGGACTGGCCCCGCTTCAGCCCGCGGTCTTTCTGGCTGTTAAGAGAGCGGCTGCTGAGGCTCGGGTAGTGGCTGAGCGAGCCTGGCCGGTTGTCATAGTAGCCTGATTTCCGAGAGCCGGGAGACAGCGACAGTACAGTGCCCATGGTGAGTCAGTGCTCCAGAGATTATACTGCCGTACTGTTGTTGTAGAGAGAGGACGCGTTTGAGGCAAAGCTCTCTTTTAATTCTTAATATCCAGCAGATGTGAAACAGCAAGAAGAGACGAGAAGGTGCAGACGTATCGAGGTGAGGGCACAGTTTAAATGACTGTGGCTGCAGAGACCTGCAACATTAAAACACACAGGAAGAAAATGTAAACGAATGCACAGTAATACACATAATAAGAACAATTTAAATACATATCAGCAACATATTGCAAAATGCACCTTGTTTACATTAAACTGCATCATATAAAAAATTACATTAAATTGTAGAGAGATAAAAGTTCCCCAAAATACCAAACAGCTGAATACTGATGCAAAAAGAATCTATATTTGCAGCCATGAAAACATGCAGTTTGAATATTTCACTGTGTAAACATTACTGAAGAGGTGGACCCAGCAGATCTACGGGCGATGCTGTCAGACAGAGAGGAGCAAGCACAATTTGTTCCGACCTTTAGGGAGGAATATTCGGGTAAAACTGGATTTTAAGGGGTTAATTATTAGCCTGATTTAATCTATTAGCCCTGTTCGTGTGAAGATTCCAGGATTTAAAACTATTAAAAGGACTCTTTATCTTTCTCTTAAGCACTAAATATAGGTGAACAAGGCGCACATAACACATTATTCCCTCTGTAACGAGCTCTTAAATAGATAATATAGTTTCCATCTCAAACTGTACTGAACAACCACAAACACACATTAATCTTAACATTTCATCTCAATCCCTGGGTTCTCTGAGGCTCACCTGTGTGTACAGTTGTTGTTGTTGTTGTTGTTGTTGTTGTTGCCGCAGTCCGCGATGCAAACATATAAAGGAAGGCGCAACAAATGCGCTGTTTCTGCAGCCACAGCCGATAAGTCAGGATGGCAGCGGGCTGGATGCTGATCTGTCTGCACAGTCAGAGGCAGAATAAAGTCACTCTCGCAGAAGCTTTCTGACCTACTCTTCAAAAAGATGCCAAAGTGTGGAACAGCGCGTCGGTCCTCGCCAGGCGGGGTGCAGGTGTCATCCTCCGCTGCACCTCAGACCCGGTCGAGAAGGATGGTCGACTTTATTGCGATCAACTGTCTCTTCACTTGTGTCTCCATGTCAAACTTTCACAGTGTCTGAGTCCTTTCAATGCATTCCATCTCTCAGATCCGAGCGTAAAGTGTCCCCTGACTTCTCCCCGGTTCACGGTTCCTGGTTGCCGGTGCAGCTGTGCACTCTTGAGCTCCGGTCGTCTACTGGCCGGTGGTCGGTCCCGACAGTCCGACCTCTGAACGGGCTTCTCTCACAGTGAGGCAGCGCAGCAGCCAGTGAGCGCACAGAGCGGCTCGTTACACCGCCTCCAAGAGACACAGACTCCTCCTAACTGGGCTCAGCTGCTGTCTGACACACACACACACACACACACACACACACACACACACACACACACACACACACACATAAACAATGAGTGCAGTAAAATCAACAGATTACACATTATCTACATTCATCATCTTCAACAATTCATTATTATTTTACACATTATTATTGGTACAGCAACAGTAGCACATGATAAACTTTATTTATAGCACATTTATTACAAAAAGATGGTGCAAAAAAAAAAGTTAAATAATATTAAATTTTACGGAAAATAAAATAAAATTTAGAACAAAGGCAAAGTACATTTTAAAAAAGTGTAAAATCCTATAAAAAACAAACTTATTAAACAACATTTATTTTATTAAATAAATAATAAAACACAAGACATCCCTAATTAATATCTCTAATTAATATGAAACTAAAAAATGACTACAGTAAAGTTGATCATTTACTAGCTCTTCCAGAGCTCTTGATCATATCACATGATCTTCATCAGCCCAGTTGTCAGTTCTTTTGATGTCTTGTCAAACTCTCATCTGCTGATGAACATCATGTGATATGAGCGAAAGCTCCAGAACACCTAAATGGACCATTCAGTCATTGTTTTTCTCAACAGATGTTTCCAAGTTTAAGAAAACAAGAGAAAATTGTAATAAATAGATAAAACTGTAAATGAATAGTGTTAGTGTTACTTTACCGTTTTATAAGTAATACAGTTTTATTATTAGTAGTAGTAGTCGTCGTTGTCGTAGTTTAAGTAGTAGTAGTAGTACTAGTAGTAGTAGTAGATGTATAGCTGCAGCGGTAGTAGTATTAGTATAAGTAATATAAGTAGTAGTAGTACAGCTGCAGCAGTAGTATTAGTAGTATTAGCGGTAGTAGTAGTATTAGTAATAGTATTAGTTGTATTAGTAGTGTAGCTGCAGCAGTAGTACTCGTAGTACTCATTGTGCACCAATCTTTTTGCCAGCTCTGCACAAACACTTCACCTGGTTGTCTAATAAACACTCTCAGCAACACAAACTGCAGATGGAGCAGAAAGTATGCAGGCCAATAAATGTGTAATGACTTAAAAGAAGTTGTACAAAAGTCCTTCAGAAGCCTGGAAATACACGCGTCCAGCAGGGAGGTAAAATAATCCCCGTTAATTTCATATTCATGTTGATTTATAGGAACATTAAAGTACATAAAGCTTCAGGAATCCAATGAAATTAAAAAGTAAGTATCAGATCAGGATGAAATGAGTAACTCACTCCTGTGAGGGTTTACTGTGGTGTGTAAGCCTCCCTCACGTGTTGACAGGTCAGCTCTTATTATGCAACTGTCTTTATGAGTCCTTGCTGTATTATGGGTCAGGGAGATGCCTGAGCTGTGGAGTGTAAGAGGATCAGACGCATTGTTAGGAAGGACGGACGATAAGTGTCAATGAAGCAATCTCCCCTTCCATCCATTGGATCTGTCTGTCTCCTTCTGAGAACTTAATAAACATCATTACCGTGGGCTATTTTGGTCATTGAGTCAGTGTGTTGTGAAACCGATGTTGGTTTAGAAGTTGTAACTATTGTCTTTATTAATGTTTAATTAATAATTTACAAGTGCTTCATAGATCAGTTATGAGCAGCGTCAGATTTCAGAACCTTCACTGAATTAAAAGCTGTAAATAAATACTTAATACAGACACTATAAGAGTCAGTGAGAGTGATACTTAATCATTGTTTGATTAATAAAAAGATTTAATTGTGGAATTTTCCATGCGAAAGCCTCTTTGACATCAGCGGATAGCTAAAGACCTTTCTGGGAAACGAGGAGGAACTGTAGAGACAGATAAAGAGAATAAACAAACTAAACAAATGATTATGGGCAGATGAGATAAGAGGGGTGGTAGTGTGCAGGAGTTGGCGAGAAGCAGGCATAAACAGCAAGATACAGGAAGGAATTTTAAAATCCCCCTAATAATAGTCAGTGCTTGACCATATTAGAGTAATTCAATTAATTAAATTCCAGTTTAATGCGAAGCTGCAAGCAGTCCAATCAATGCTAACTGCAGGTCAACTGACCCTGGAGCTGGTTCCTTCTGGTCTTCCAAGAAACAAGTTAATCAGAGGAGGCTTTTCTTCACGCTGTGCTCCCGAAATAAACAACTCCAGTAAATTTAAATGTAATTGTATCATCCATGTAAAGGTGTAAACATCCCCTACTGAACTGTTTCTCTGTGCACAAGGACACTTTCTAACTCCCAGAGACAGACGGAAGAGGGGAAGACCAGCTCATCATCTCATTATCAGACAGGTTCTTGATCTCTCTGAAGAACCAGACGTCGGCCTTTTCCTCAGAAATTCCTCAAGTTTAAGCAAATCTGATCTAACGCAGGAAAACAAATACGTTTGTTTCCCACAATTATCTTTGAGCTGTCTTGTTTTAATTGCACTGTACGGCACCTTGAATCTTTATAAACAAAACAGCTTTGCCCAAAATGTCAAGCTCTTCCTTTAAGAAAGGCCACCAAATAAATGAAAGATCTAACAAATATAGTAAAATAATAAAAGTAACAGCTTGAAAATGTGGTTTTTACACTGTTCTCAAGTTGATGTAGACAAATATTAACAATAATAATACTCGAGAGACATCTTCTCTAGTTCGTTTAGGATAAGGAGTGTTTATATTTTCTTAAATTAAGACAATCGGATATTGTCGTGAAGAGGAGGCAGCTGGTTGTTCAGATCTCTCTAGTGGAGAAGAAAAATGCCTCCAAGCTGTAAGTGATGCTAAAGCCACAGTATCGTGATACTAATCGATTCCTCAGACACACCAAAAATAGCAAAATTCACAGACTGTAGGCTTCAGCTCTGTTTCTGTCTCAGTTGCTTCATTTGCACAAATAACAAGACACAAGAGTGAACTGCCTGGTGACAAAACAGAGCATTTAATATAACAAAATCATATCAAATCAAAATGTATTAATGAAGAAAAAAGCAAAAACTAGTGCAACATACAGACGAAATATTAGAATAAACAATAAATTACATGTGTCAACAATTAAATAAACATTAAACCTACATATGTAACTTTGAGAAAAGGAGGATTGTGTTGCAGTCGAGCTCCTCTGACAGAAAGTTCTTCTAAATCTTGTGAGATGCAAATTATTGACCCATCAGGTGTTATATGTGTTGGTTGTGATCACATGTTTGCTCTCATTTAACCCCACTGAGCTCACTGGTTCCCAACCTGGGGGTCAGGACCCCCACTGGGGGTCGCAAGGTCATCTTAATTTTAAGAGGTGAAAGAAAACTCAACATTTTCTGTGGCGAGAACTAAATGACATTGTTACTTTTAAAATGTAGATTATTATTTAAGATATAAACTCTGAAGACCTGAAGATAAACTTTCTTCATAGAGTCTTCACTCTCTGATAAACAACTGTATCCTGTATTAGAAAAGTTAAAACAACCAAAAAGCTGATGGAACAATGGTCAAGTGTCAGGGAGAAGAAAAAACAGAATTTGTCAAATATTTGTTAAAAATATAAACATATTCCAGAATACAGAGAATTATATCAGAAGTTGCTTCAGATAAACTCATCTCTAATTCAACATTTAAAGGAAATAATCTGCTAAACACGTATACACATATAAACATGTTGGTCAGTCGTCAGTTTACTCAATGATATAAAAAAAGGTTGCATAGACCACCAGGACCCCCCCTGACCTTTGACATATTGATTTACTATCTAAAACTTACAACTTAATGCCGCATATGTTCGACTTATAGAGTCAAAATGTATAATTCAGACAGTCAGCGTTGACTTGATATCTCAGTATTTTTATTTTTATCATTCTTAATTTTGTATTTTTTTTCCTCTTGGCGGAAATGAGCCTCCATATAAACATTATTCACCCTAACTTATCATCAAGTTTTTCTTCTCCTGGCATGAAAGGGCTTCCATACATTTAAACCCAAATAAAACACAGAGTGACGAGTTTCATCCTGAGTCAACGAGATCCTCTCCTGGCATAAACCCATCTTTGTTTTCTTGTTTAGGTTTTCATGTCAGTGTGAGCTGGCTGATTGGCTGGTCGAGTTGTATAGGGGAGATCTCCTCATTTAACACACACACACACACACACACACACACACACACACACACACACACACACACACACACTACTATTCCTTCTCCGTCCTCATTTTCTCTGCTGTTCTTCCCTCCAACAGCTGCAGGACTCTGAGCATCTCCTGCACAGCTGACCCGGATACACTGACAGCTATGAAAAGAGCTGTTGTTGTCCACTGATGACCCACCCCCCCCCTCGCATCCCTGCAAACACACACACACACACACACACACACACACACACACACACACATGCACATCACCACTTTACGGCAGCAGACATGAGGCAGGAAACACGAGCACAGACAGCAGTGTGTGATGCTGCCGGTGTCATCGTAATCCCCATTTTGACATTTATATATTTTTTAAATCCTGAGATTAAATGTGAATAAATGCCATTAAAACTATATTTCAGCGTTTGTTACACTGAATAAACTCATATTAAAGACACTCAGAAGTGTCCAAGACTCTTAAAGGTGTGTGTGAGATTTCAGAAAGAGTGTTTCCCTGGTTTGTAGCTCTTTTAAAATCCTAATTTTGGTTCAGAAATCTTTTTTTGGTATCATTTGCTGTTGTTTGACCTAGTTGCATTATGTAATTACGATTTATACTGTCATGTCCCACATTTTGCAGCTAGAGAAGAAGAGACTGCTGCAGTCGATAAAACAAATGTTTTTTTTTTTTAAACCAGAGCTTCTGTTACAAATGAGGCCCAGCAGCTGTATTTTTCTTTTTTTTTTTTTTTTTTTTCCCCGCTCTCATCACAGACACTTTCATCCAGATCCAAACGCACAGTGGATCTGTCTTTCCTTTCTGTCACACACCCACTGATCTTATTTTATTCCTTTAAGACAGAGCAGCATG